TGACACCCTCAACACCTCGGCTGCGCCTAGAAATCCTGTCCATAAAAATTATGAACAGGACCGGAGACATAGGGCAACCTTGGCGGAGTCCAACTCCCACCGGAAACGAGTCCGACTTACTGCCGGCAATGCGAACCAGACTCTGACTCCGGTCGTACAGGGACCGAACAGCCCGTAACAAGGGGCCAGGTACCCCATACTCCCGGAGCACCCCCCACAGGATACCCCGAGGGACACGGTCGAACGCCTTCTCCAAGTCCACAAAACACATGTGGACTGGTTGAGCGAACTCCCATGCACCCTCTAGGACCCCGCTGAGGGTATAGAGCTGGTCCAGCGTTCCACGGCCAGGACGAAAACCACCCTGCTCCTCCTCGATCCGAGGCTCGACTATCCGACGGACCCTCCTCTCCAGAACCGCTGAATAGACCTTCCCAGGGAGGCTTAAGAGTGTGATCCCCCTATAGTTGGAACACACCCTTCGGTCCCCCTTTTTAAATAGGGGGACCACCACCCCAGTCTGCCAATCCAGCGGGACTGCCCCTGATGTCCACGCGATGTTGCAGAGTCGCGTTAGCCAACGCAGCCCCACAACATCCAAAGCCTTAAGGAACTCCGGCCGGATCTCATCCACCCCCGGGGCCTTGCCACCGCGGAGCTTTTTGACTGCCTCGGTGACTTCAGCCCCGGAGATTAGAGATCCAAACTCCGGATCCCCAGGCTCTGCCCCTCCAACGGAGGACGCGCCAGTGGGATTGAGGAGGTCCTCGAAGTACTCCGCCCACCGACCCACAACGTCACGAGTTGAGGTCAACAGCACACCACCCCCACTGTAAACAGTGTTGGTGGGGCACTGCTTCCCCCCCCTGAGACGCCGGATGGTGGACCAGAATCGCCTCGAGGCCGTACGGAAGTCTTTTTCCATGGCCTCCCCAAACTCCTCCCACGCCCGGGTGCTTTAGCATAATATGCTTTAAAATAATTTTTTTAAATAATTTGAAAACCTTTAACGTGTCCTTATACAATTTACTCTAATACTTTACTGCACAGCAGTGGCATCCAATAACAAACTAAGAAGTGTTCAAATGTAAGCCCGTGGAAAACTCTACTATAATTGTCTTCTATAATGACCGTCTACTGCTATTTCTCCAGTTTTATTTGTTTATTTGAGATTAAACTTGGAACAAATATAATGTCTACAATCCTGTATTTATAATATTTATATTATGTTGATTTGTTTTGTTTAACATTAAATAAAGTCCAATTTCTTAATTTCACATTATCAGTATTGAGAAGTGTAAATATTGCGATGATTAATCCATCAGCTTGCATGAATCTGTATCCCTCTGTTTAAAGTATGTATTTCATATTACTGTTTTATGTCTCTTACACACACACACACACACACATATCAGGTCATAGTCAACCACTACAAAACTACACAGAATTCAAGAACATTTTTACATTTTGTACAGTTACACAGGAGGCACAGATTCTGGAAGCAAGTGTCCATCAGCCTACCAGGATTTGTGTCGCCAGTGTTTAAAGCATGTATAACATCCTATCGTCCAATGTTTTATGTCCTATAAACCTTTGGTACACAATGGGGTCCAGCCACTTTACAGGTATTGATTCTCATGAGTGTGTGGATGACTTCTGGTGGTTAAAGAATCATCACTTTTGGTAAGATGTGCTTGTTGGATTGTTTGTATTGTTTAACGTCTCAGCTCCCCATGCCGCCGAAGAGGTTCTGCTCTGTGAGAGAGCAGTTGACTGCTAGGAGAAGGCTTTGTTCTCTACTTTTTCTAATGACTTGCCATGTGCAGACACTGAATTGACAAAGTTTTTAATTCCCTGTGTATATGCACCTTCGTCTCCCCGATCCCCTGTTTTGGGTTTGACCTAGCTATGCTGTAGCATAACAATAACAAAAAGTCTTATTTTGTGTCCAGGACATTCCTTCCCACCATGATTTGTTGTTTGGCAAAACTGTGATAGTGTTAAAAACAAGGAACTGTGATCAGACCGCCTGAGATGGTGAAGAGCCATTCTTTTAAATCTATTGTTAACATTAATTTACACAGGGTCAAGTGTGTTTCCTCGTCCTCATGTGGGACATGAACATGTTGATAATATTTAAGGAGAACAGACTTTAGAAGTCTCCGACTATCACAAACATACCATGAGGATAAGTCTTCTGTTCTTTTCCAACAGTGGTTAGCAACTAGTCCAGAGCCTTGCTGGTGTAATCGTTCGGTGTTATGTAAGTCGGATTTTGCCACCATAAGTCACCTAACAAATGCCCCACTCAGGTTACTTTACAGGACAGTTGTACAGTTAAATGGACAGTTGGGTTGTATCTCTAACTTTACTCAGCTATGCAAATAACAGAACTGATGGTTTCAGTAGGTGCAGACAAGCACTAAGGTATAGCTACTTATGCTCAGTTGTATATGCCCAGTTATTTTCTATGCCCCAATGTGCTTTCTGTTCCTGTTTTGATCTCAATAAGATTCCCTCTCATCATGACTTAACTTTTTAGTTTTAGTTGTGAATGCATAAGCAGTATTAAGGAGGCAAAGATCCTTAAAAGTAAGCTGAGGAGATGGCGGTGGAAGGAGTAGAAAATCACAGAAATACTACCCTGCATTGCCATGCTGTTTATCCCCCTCAACCTCCCACAAAAATATTTGACACGTTTAATCAGCTCAGCCCTTGCACTTCCAGCTTCTCCCACACATTTAGGGGTTACATACAGTCACTTTTTCCAAATGTTTCTTTGTCTGACCCCTCTGCAAGACACCAGCCCTTCATTTGAGATTGCAAGCTCACAGTCACACCCTGCTTATCCAGTCTTCCTCTCTCTCATTCACTCTTGAAAACTGTTCCCTCTTTTGGGGCCATAAGGCCTTTGTGTACATCAATGGACTGAAGCAAGTAGGATTGTACAGATAGCACCATTGTTGCTGGCCCAGGATTTTCAGTAATGGAGCATGATGAAATTATCTTTTGTTTACTCTTTTAAAGTGCAGTTCCGTTTATGCCTGCCTGAATAAAATAGTTCTAGTTAAGTAGCCTCCTAATTCCTGACACTGACAAAAAATTAAATATACCATAATAAAAATCCACATTCTTTGTTCATCTATGAGGTGACTGATGTGGTCCTCTCTTACAGGGCCAACAGTAATAGAAACTCTTTCAGGAAAATGCTCATACTGGTTTTCCGAATTAAGGATTGGTCAGTTTAGGTTTGAAATCATTCCCACCACTAAGTTTAAAAAGTTCTGTTTAGGCAACTGGATGTGACGTTTTCTAGAAGACATTTAGCCTCCCATCCAAGAGGCTTCAAATTATATTCTTCAGTTTTAACTGATGGTGGGGAGCACAGTGCTGTCCACCATCAATTAGAACTGAAGAAGCCTCTTGGATGAGTGGCATAACGTATTTTGGAAAACTTCTGGTCCAGTTGCCTAAACTGAACCTTTCAAGCTTGACTATGACCTGGATGACTGAGAATCTTCACAAGATATGTTGCCAACACTAACGTCAGACTTTCTAGATATTTGGAAAAAATTGTGATTGACTTACATAATTGTAGCAAAATTATTTATGACTGTCCTGCTCAGTGGACAATATGTGGACATTTCCCCACTGTGGGATCAATAATGTAATCTAATAGAATCTGAATCCTCTAAATTCAATCAGGTTCATGACTTCCACTGTTATATATTGGGAATTCTTCAGTCCTGCAAAGAGAGGCTGCAAGTGTAGTACGCTTGCACTCCAATTTTGCCAGATTTGGAGTGCAAGGGTAAGGGGGTAATTTTCTGCAAAAATATTTAAGTAGGTGACAGTTGTCAAAATAGGAAAAAATTTAAATTTCTCATTTAAAACATATAAACTGTTCAAGATGGGTCTTACACACACCAACATCTGCTCACAGTGCACAGATAACACACCTGATTATTATATGCATGCTCTGTGATCCTGTGCACCAGTTCAGAAATTCTGGATTGAGGTCAGTAACATAGCACCTATAGTGCTCACTGCCCTATGTATCTCAAAGAAAACTATTCTTGTGAAATGGAAAACAAAGAAAAAACTGTTAACTATCAATCAGTTTGGGAATCTTCTGTTAGGAAACATCAGCTGACTGCTACCTGAACTCTCTGGTCCTCTCTGATTACTTCCATCACTTAATGGCCTCCAGCTCCGGGGCTACCCGCTGTACCACACCAAAGGACCGGACTATTTATTTATTTATTTTTACTTATTTGTTTTTGTACTTTATTTATGTATTCATTTATTTATCTATTATTTGTTTATTTGTTTAGTTTATCCCCACCCTGGGTTGCCACCTTATCACGGTGGAGGGGTTTGAGTGTCGCAATGATCCTAGGAGCTATGTTGCCCAGGGCTTAAAGCCCCTGGTAGGACACCCAAGGAAAACCGTTCCTAGGTGAGGCATCAGACGAAGCGCAGCCCAAATGAAGAATAACATAAATGGGCCAAATGTACCCTCGCCCAGGGCCTGGCCCCACTCTGTAGTCCGAGACAGAGCACCTTGATGAGCGCCTGGTGGCCGGGATTTAACCCATTGAGAAGAAGCCACATGGGTCCCCCCTCACCACCCATAGGAGGGTGTAATGGGTGTGAAGCTGGACCCAAGTACAGCACAGACTGAGACCAGCGATGAACAGTTCAACAGTTTATTTCCCCAACAAACTGGAGGCAGACAAGGGCAGGCAGGCGGAGGTGTCAGAGGCAGAAGGCTGTTCAGGTTACCGGGGCTGGAACGATGAGGACGAGTCAGGGGCAGGCAGGGTCGAAACCAGTGAGGCAGTCCGGAAGAAAACGCTGGAAAGCTTTGCATGACACTAAAGACAATCTGGCAGAGACTGAGAGGAAAGAGTGGGTTTAAATCAGGTGAGGGAACACAGGTGAAGGTGGTTGCACTGATGAGGCAGACAATCCGGAAAAGTACTGGCAGAGCTGGCAGTATGGTGGAAACCCAGGACTGGATTGTGACAGTACCCCCCCCGGCAAGGGACGGCTCCAGACGTCCCAGGCCGAGCCGGGAGGGTGGCGGGGGCCCGAGGAGGGCTAAAACTCCTCAGAGGCAGCAGAGTCCCCATCCTCCGCAGAGGAAGATGAGCAGGAAGAGGCAGCCCCATCGGTGCCCCCCCTCACCAGAGATTCAGAAGGTCCATCAGCAGATGGGCCCGCAGAAGGCGGATGTGAGGCCGGGGCAGGCTGGTCAGGATGCAGACAGTGAAAGTCCGAAATGAGCTGAGGGTCCACAATGAACCGAGCCGGCACCCAGGAACGCTCCTCTGGGCCGTACCCCTCCCAATCCACAAGATACTGCATACCACGTCCACGGCGGCGAGAGCGAAGGAGGCGCCTGACAGCGTACACAGGACCGCCATCAACGAGCTGAGGAGGCGGAGGAGGCGGCATGGGAGGAACCAGAGGACTTTCTGGGACTGGCTTGATCCTGGAGACATGGAACGTCGGGTGGATCCTCATGGACCGGGGCAGCCGAAGACGTACCGCCTCTGGGTTGATGATGCGAGTGATGGGAAAGGGCCCCACAAACCTGGGAGCCAGCTTGCGGTTCTCCACCTTAAGGGGCAGGTCACGGGTGGAGAGCCAGACCCTCTGCCCAACCTGGTAGGCAGGAGCAGGCGTGCGGTGCTTGTTGGCGGCGGCAGCGTAACGGTCGACAGACTTGAGGAGAGCAGTACGTGCCTGGTCCCAGGTACGCCGGCAACGGTGAACGAAGGCTTGTGCCGATGGGCAGGCAGCCTCCCTCTCTTGGTTGGCAAATAGCGGGGGCTGATACCCATATGCGCACTGGAAGGGCGAAAGTCCGGTGGAAGAGCAGGTGAGGGTGTTGTGGGCGTATTCTACCCAGATGAGTTGTGCCGACCAGGAAGCAGGGTTGTGGTTGATCAAGCAGCGAAGAGTGGTTTCCAGGTCTTGGTTCATTCTCTCAGTCTGCCCATTGGACTGGGGGTGAAAGCCAGAAGACAGACTGACGGAGGCGCCAACGAGACTGCAAAACTCCTTCCAGAACATAGACGTGAACTGGGGACCCCGGTCAGAGACAATGTCAGTGGGCAGTCCATGGAGACGAAAAATGTTCTGGAGAACCAGTTCAGCTGTCTCTTTAGCAGATGGAAGCTTGGAGAGGGGAATGAAGTGGACCATCTTGCTAAAACGGTCGACAACTGTGAGGATGGCAGTGTGGCCTTTGGATGTAGGTAGGCCAGTTACAAAGTCCAGGGAGATGTGTGACCATGGGCGATGAGGAACAGGCAATGGGTGCAGGAAGCCAGCTGGAGGACGACGAGAGGTCTTGTTCTGGTTGCACACAGGACAGGCGTTGACATAGCCTCGGACATCCTCCTCCAGTGATGACTACCAGAAGCGCTGCTGCAGGAAGTCTCGGGTCCGCTGAATGCCAGGGTGGCAAGTCAGCCGGGAAGCATGCCCCCACTGGAGAACATCGGAGCGGAGGTGAGCCGGGACAAACAAACGGTCAGGGGGACAGGAACTAGGACCAGGCTGGTCCTCAGTGGCAGCCCGCACCCTCTCCTCTATCTCCCAAGTGACAGAGGCAATGAGACAGGAGGCCGGAACGATGGTGGAGTGCTCAATCGTATTATCCGGACACTCAGCAAACTGCCGGGAAAGTGCATCTGGTTTAATGTTCCGAGACCCGGGTCGATAGGACAGTGTAAAGTTGAACCTGTCAAAGAACAGTGACCAGCGGGCCTGTCTGGAATTTAGTCTCTTGGCAGATCGAATATATTCCAGGTTGCGATGATCCGTCCACACAATGAATGGCACCTTGGCTCCCTCCAGCCTGTGGCGCCACTCCTCCAATGCCAGTTTCACCGCCAGAAGCTCCCTGTTACCAATATCATAGTTCCTCTCTGTGGGGGTTAGGCGGCGAGAGAAAAAGGCGCAGGGGTGAATCTTCTGATCGATGGGGGAGCGCTGAGACAGAACCGCCCCTACCCCCACGCCGGATGCGTCCACCTCCACAATGAACTGGCACTCCGGTTCGGGGATCTGGAGGATGGGAGCAGTGGAGAAGCGAGTCTTGAGGGTGTCAAAGGCGCCTTGTGCTTCGTCAGTCCAGCGGAAGGATGTCTTGGATGAGGTGAGGGCCGAGAGGGGAGAGGCAATGGAGCTGAAACCTCTGATGAAACGGCGGTAAAAATTGGCAAACCCCAGGAAACGCTGCAGTTGCTTGCGTGTCTCTGGGACGGGCCAGGAGGTCACCGCTGAGACCTTAGCTGGATCCATCTGCAAGCGGTCCTTGGCAATGATGTATCCCAGGAAGGAGACTGAGGGTTCATGAAATACACATTTCTCTGCGTTGACATATAGGGAACTGTCCAGGAAGCGGCGGAGGACAGCTCTGACGTGAGTGACATGTTCCTCCTGGTTACGAGAAAAAATCAGGATATCATCCAGGTAAACGAAGACAAACTTGTTCAGCATATCCCGCAGCAGGTCATTGATCAAAGTCTGGAAAACGGCCGGGGCGTTGGTCAAACCAAAGGGCATCACCAGGTATTCATAATGTCCTGTTGGTGTGTTGAAGGCCGTCTTCCACTCATCTCCCTCCCGGATGCGAACCAGATGATAAGCATTCCTCAAGTCTAGCTTGGAGAACACTGTTGCCCCCTGGAGCAGTTCAAAGGCTGTGGAGAGGAGTGGGAGGGGGTAGCGGTTCTTAACTGTAATATTGTTAAGACCACGATAGTCTATACAGGGCCGAAGAGACTTGTCCTTCTTATCCACAAAGAAAAACCCTGCACCAGCTGGTGAAGAGGAAGGACGGATGATCCCCGCCGCTAAGGAGTCTTGTATGTACTCCTCCATGGCCTTTCTCTCCGGGGCAGAGAGAGAGTACAAGCGTCCCTTGGGAGGTGAAGTGCCCGGGAGTAGGTCTATGGCACAGTCATAGGATCGGTGAGGTGGCAGGGAGGTGGCCTTAGCCTTGTTGAACACCTCTTTCAGGTCATGATAAACTGCTGGAACTCCTGTGATATCAGAAGCTGGAGCAGGAACAGAAGAACCAGGTAACACCGAAGGTGTCCTGAGGCAGGTCCGCTGGCAGGTCTCTCCCCACTCCCTGATGGAACAAGTAGTCCAATCAATGTTGGGGTTGTGTCTGCGAAGCCAGGGATACCCCAGGATGACAGGCTGGTTTGGGGTAGACAGGAGCAGGAACTGGATGGTCTCACTGTGGCCCCCTGGCAGTAGCATGCGCACAGGGTTGGTTTGAGATGTAACCCTCCCCAGCACATGTCCATCCAGGGCGCTGGCAGAGATGGGCAATGATAGTCTCTCAGGGCGGAGTCCAAGCCGGAGAGCGAGAGCCTGGTCCATAATGCTCTCGTCGGCCCCTGAATCGACGAGGATGGCGATGGAGTGGGAGCCAGAAGGCAGCAGGAATTCACCGGTAAGGCGAGGTCTCTTAGGGGAGGCAGGACGAACGATGGAGCTCACCAGTATGCCTCCGTTCACTGGCGAGCCCTGGCTTTTACTGGACACTGGACACTGGCTGACAAAGTGTCCTGGCTGGCCGCAGTACATACAGAGATTCTGTTTCTGCCTTCGCTCCCTCTCTTCAGGTGAGAGGCGGGTGCGACCCAGCTGCATGGGCTCAGGATCTTCCACCCTTACAGGAGCGGTTGAGGCAAACGTAGAGAAGGCAGGAGTTACTGGAGACTTGGAGTGAGGGAAACTGTGTGGCCGGGCAGGACGTGACTGGAACTCTGAGCGTCTCTCCCTCCTGCGAGCCTGGATGCGCAGGTCGAGACGGGTGGCGAGCTCAATTAGCTCCTCCAGTGTAGCGGGCAGTTCATAAGCCTCAAGTTCATCTTTAATGTACCCAGCCAGCCCCCGCATAAAGACATCACGGAGAGCGGCCGGGTTCCAGTCACACATAGGGGCCTTGGTGCGAAAGTCTATGGCATAGTCTGTGACAGAGCGGCTTCCCTGGACCAGATCCAGCAACTCTCGTCCAGCTTCAGCCCCCAGAGGTCCGGTACCAAAGACCCTCCTGAGCTCATTGGCAAAGGACAGGAAAGAGTGGCAGGCTCTGGTCCCCCTCTGCCACTCTGCTGTGCCCCAAAGACGTGCCCGCCCAGTGAGGTGGTTAATAGTATAAGCCACCCTGGCCTCCTCGGAGGAAAAGGTGAGCGGCTGCAGGGAAAAGATGAGGGAGCAGTTGCAGAGAAAGGCGTTACAGGTGACAGGATCGCCATCATAACGCTCCGGTGCTCCAACTTGAGGCTCACGGGGCGAAGGGAGAGGAGCACCAACTCCTGATGAGACAGGTGGAGGAGCAGCAGGACTTGCCGAAGCCAGTGGTGAAGAACTGGCCCCCAGCGAGGCAGGTGATTGCTCCAGAACTTGGGTGCGGGCGTGGATGTTCTCCAGTTCCTGTCGTACTTGTGCCAGGCCCTGCTGATTCTCTGCCCTGGCGGCCGTTGACGCAGCAACCAGCTGATTTAACATAACCTCCATCCGGGATATCCGGTCGTCAATCTGGGCTGGGTCCATTCTTGGCCAGATTGTACTGTAATGGGTGTGAAGCTGGACCCAAGTACAGCACAGACTGAGACCAGCGATGAACAGTTCAACAGTTTATTTCCCCAACAAACTGGAGGCAGACAAGGGCAAGCAGGCGGAGGTGTCAGAGGCAGAAGGCTGTTCAGGTTACCGGGGCTGGAACGATGAGGACGAGTCAGGGGCAGGCAGGGTCGAAACCAGTGAGGCAGTCCGGAAGAAAACGCTGGAAAGCTTTGCATGACACTAAAGACAATCTGGCAGAGACTGAGAGGAAAGAGTGGGTTTAAATCAGGTGAGGGAACACAGGTGAAGGTGGTTGCACTGATGAGGCAGACAATCCGGAAAAGTACTGGCAGAGCTGGCAGTATGGTGGAAACCCAGGACTGGATTGTGACAGAGGGTCCAAATGGGTTGGTGCAGTGTGGAACGGGTGGCGGCCAGAGTCGGGGACCTTTGTGAACCGATCCCCGGCTGCACAAGATGACTTGGGACGTGGAATGTCACCTCTCTGGTGGGGAAGGAGCCTGAGTTGGTGTGCAAGGCGGAGAGATTCTGTCTGGACATAGTCGCTCTCGCCTCAACGCACAGCTCTGGCTCTGGAACCAGCCTTCTTGAGAGGGGTGTTTTGTTGTGTGAGTTCTGTGCTCGGCATAGATTGTCTATAACGAACACCATGTTCAGGCATAAGGGTGTCCATATGTACTCTTGGCGCCCAGGACACCCTAGGCCGCAGTTCAATTATCGGCTTTGTTGTTGTTTCAGCTGATCTGAGTCCGCATGTCCTGGACACTTGGGTGAAGAGGGGTCAGAACTTTCCACTGACCACTGCCTGGTGGTGAGTTGGCTTCGATTGTTGGGGAGGATGCCAGTGAGACCAGCCATGCCCAAATGTATTGTGAGGGTCTACTGGAAGCGCCTGGCTGAGTCCCCAGCTTTAACTCTAACCTCCGGCAGAGCTTCGAGCACCTTCCGGGGGAGGTCAGGGACAGACCGAGTGGGCCTTGTTCCAGGCCTCCATTTTCGATGTGGTTTCCGGGAGTTGGGGTCACAGGGCTGTCGGTGTCTGATGTGGCGGTAACCCTAGAATCCGCTGGTGGACACCAGCAGTGAGCAGAGACGTACAGTAACGAAGTAGAACTACTTAAGTACTGTACTTAATTACCAAAATGCAGTATCTGTACTTTTGGAGTATATATTCTTCCACTACTTTTACTTTTACTCCACTACAAAAGTTTTATTAATTCAATACTTTTACTCTGATCGATTTTTCAACGGGCTGAATCGTTACTCGTTACTGATATGTAAACGTCATGAATCATCCCCAAGTTTTGTAGATGGCTCTGTCACAGTTTGAGGAGCTGGCTCATCATTGGGCAATTTGAGCGATCAAGCATAGCCTATTAAAAAAAAACGCAGTCTTCAACTCCACCTTTCGCTCTGTTTCTTGAATGAGTGAGCTTACTGTCCGATATCGAGATGGATGACGTCCCAGGAACACCACCAACACCAAGTTATAAAACACCAACACCAAGTTTTTCGACTGATCGTGGTGAGGCTGATGAAGTCCTGGCCCTCCTTAGAGTCTATGTTTACCTTTAAGTGTCAACTCTGCCTCCCGTAAGATTGCAAAATCATGGCTTTCATCTAATCTGAAGAAGCATATCAAGGTAAGTTAAAAAATACAATGACAATTAAGCTATTAAGTAAGTGCTTGTTCAGTTCTCCCTGTTCTCTCAGGACGTATCAGCTAACATTACCTAAAGCAAACCTAGCTGACTAGCTGTATGCTCCCCCCCTTAACATGATAGCATATAAGGTCAGCTCATGATTCTGACACTGGAATAATAAATGATGAGTGGTGGCGTCATGACCAGATCCTTGCTCAATTGGCAGATGGCATCGAGTAGGCAAGGAAAAGGGCAAGACAGCTGTCCAAAGGGCCTTGTTTCATACATTTTACCAGGGCAGGAGAAAGTGGAGCAGCAGGAGGGAGGAGCAAGGGGGTCTTGGCCACGGCAAATGACTGGGAGATGCGGGAAGACCTAAAGAAGCAGCCCAAATTCCCTGAGGAGATAGCCCACACTAGCCTGAGACCAGACATTGTTCTGTGGTCTAAAGGTACCAAACAGGTGCTCATCGAGCTGACTATCCCCTGGTAAGAGAGGATGGAAGAGGCCTATGAGCGCAAGCTCAATAAAAACCAAGCCCTCATCCTAGAGAGCCAGCAAAATGGATGGAAGACCTGGAATCTCCCAGTGGAGGTGGGATGCAGAGGCTTTGCTGCTCGGCCGCTTTGGGGAGCCCTTGGACTGCTGGGAATTGAAGGGCTGGCCAGGAAGCGGCTTGTAGCCAACACCACCAAGCGAGCGGAGGAGGCATCTCGCTGGATTTGGATGCAGCAGGAGGTGCGGTGGCAGAGCTGTTGCACTGAGTGAACAGAGAACCGAAGACAGAGTTGGGTGGCATTCAGTGGGGGTGGGTCCAGGACGCTGGACCTGCCGTTGAGCCCCTCCGAGGTGTTTAAATCAACGAAACACCAGTGAAGGGGGGTGCCCATTTGACAACCTGCTGAAGCTACCCAACTCCTATTCCAGTCACAGAGACTTAGGGGTGCCTTGAGGGGAGGAGACAGAGAGAGAGAGCGATGCCACTGGCCCACAGATGGTGCAGGGGCAAGTACCTGTAAAGGTGGGCCAGTTGTGATATCCCCTATCGTATTTTGCATATAACGATAGTTGATGAAGTGCTGTTGATTGTGCATATGTAGTTTAAATTATTTTATTCCCATACTGTTATTCCGCAATAATTTGCCATTTGGATAATGGCTAATTTGGGCATTTTGTGATGCAAGTAGGTCGATTTGTGACGGTTTCTCCTACTTTTTGAAGGCAATCACCTCAGTGATGGCCTTGTCTGCATCTCAAGTTAGGCCTATTGCTACATGCTCTGCAGGTGGGCATTGAGGAACGCTTTGGTCCGATGATGGAAGACCCGGTCTGGTAGCTGCTGCTATTCTGCTTCCAAAGTTACGGACCAATTGGAAACGGGAAGATGAAACAATTAAACTAGGTAAGAAAGGGAGCATGCTCAATCAAGGTTTGCATATTAATTATACACCAAGTGCTTAGAAACATGGCTATTAGTGGTGCATGTTCTAACTTGCCCTGTAAAAAGTCTTACTGACAATGTTTTCACAATTTTATATAATGCAGTACTGTTATATTTTAGGAATGGACTATATCAAACAACACATTGAAGACTTCTCGTTGCACTCTGTTAAGGTCAACAAGTCGAGCTCATCTGATGAGGAAGACTTATTTTCTGGCATGAAGGGTTCAAAGGCAAAAGACGGAGTCAAACAGCTGGATGCGTACCTGTCCTGTTCCGCGGTAACATGGACTAGCTCAAGTCTTTCCCTGCGGTGTCTATTAGGTTAAACACACCCCTTCCAGCATCAGCCGCCTGTGAGACGCTGTTTAGTATTGCAGGATTAGTCTTTAGCCCAAGAAGAGAAAGACTAAATGACTCCAATTTTGGATATCAACTGCTTTTGAGACTAAACAACAGATTTCTAACTCCCTAACTGACAGCTTTATGAGAATACACTGTAGAAAAAGCACAAGTGGGGAAGAGAATGGAGGAATATTATGGGGGAGTCTGTTTACAAAGACACTGTGTGTTGTAAGGTGCCTGTGGCAGTCGTGCCACCGTGGATGCCCCGAAAGAGTTGCAGACCAGAGGTTGTTGGTTCAGAGCGTTTATTTCTGAGCGTGTGTGCGGCACCCGCACACACACTCTCTCACACAAGCACACACACTCACGCCCGGCTAAGGCTCTTTGTTTGTCGCTTGTCCTGCTCCAGGTCTCCTCCAAAACCAGTCTCCCCAGGTCCAGCACGCTACTCTTTTTACAGACGGGAGAGTGATTAGCCAACCGGTTCCAGGTGTGCCTAATCATCTCCCCTGGCACTGCTCACCTGAGCCTCCTCCACCCCTCCCCTCTGCAGCTGAGCGCCACGCCCCCTCCACAGTGCCCAAATCAATTTTGTCCTTGTATAAGCACTACTTATTTTTTTTTATTTTTTTTTTAAATACTTCTACTTGCGATAATTAAGTAAAAATAAATAGAGTGTATCCGTACTTCCACTTAAGTCTGGTGTTGAAAGAACACTTCAACTTTTACTCAAGTAAAAATTTTTTATAGTACTTGTACTTCTACTCTACTCCTCTACTCCAATACTTTATACATCTCTTGCGGTGAGGGATGCCATCAGGCTGAAAGAGTCCTATCGGGGCTTTTTGGCCTGTGTAACTCCACAGGCAGCCGATGGGTATCGGCAGTCCAAGTGACGTGCGGCTCGGGTGGTCGCCGAGGGAAAAACCCGGGCGTGGGAGGAGTTAAAGGCACACTACCTGGCTGTGGAACGCTGGACCAGCTCTATACCCTCAGCAGGGTCCTGGAGGGTGCATGGGAGTTTGCCCAACCAATCCACATGTGTTTTGTGGACTTGCAGAAAGCATTCGACCGTGTCCCTCGGGGTATCCTGTGAGGGGGGCTCCGGAAGCATGGGGAACCGGGCCGTTTGTTACGGTCTGTTTGGTCCTCGTACGACTGGTGTCAGAGCTTGGTTTGTATTGCCGGTAGTAAATCGGATCCGTTTACGGTGAGAGTTTGACTCCGCCAAGGTTGCCCTTTGTCTCCGGTTTTGTTCATAATTTTTATGGACAGGATTTCTAGACGCATCCATGGCATCAAAGGTGTCCATCTTGGTAGCCTTAGGATCGCATCTCTGCTTTTCGCTGATGATGTGGTCCTGTTGGCTTCA